TGAGGGTAGAGCCCCGGTGTCCGAGGAAGAGCTTCTTCTCTCCACCACACGAAGACACAGTGAGAAGGTGACCATCTGCAAAGCAGGAGGTAGGATCTCCCCAGACGCAGAATCTGCCGGCGCCTTGGATGTCCCAGCCCCCAGACTGTGAGAAATAAATGTCTGTTGTTTAAGCTGCCCACTCTATGGCGTTTGTGACGGCAGCCTGAGCAGACCAAGACACAGGGGACTGTGGTGGGAGCCGGGACGCACGTGTGCTTGCTGCAAGGAAGAGAGAGAAATAAAGTGGCACAGGTAGGGACAGTCTGCCACCTGTCTCTGCCCCCAGAGAGATGGGGAGGACGGCCGCTTCCAGGATAGCCAGCTACCTTTACCCTGATTTTACCGGTAGGGTTGAGGAAATAGAGGGATTCAGAGATGGGAAAGGAGGGAGAAGCCCCCACCCGCCACCCCCAGGGCAACAGGCTGGATCCCAGTGCTGGAGGGGGTGGTGGGTGTGACAGTGGGGGAGGAGAGTCCGAAGCCCTGGGCAGGCACCAGACAGGTGGGGTCCACACACATCTCTGCCAAGGGGATGGAAACAACTCTGATGCCTCTGCTTTGAGCGGACTGAAGGGGATGTAGACATTCCCTGCCCCAGGGGTTGTGGGAGAGCTGGTCCACTGGAGGAGGCATGACTTGGATGTCAGGGACCTCAGGGAAAGGTCTGAGGATGATGACAGACCAGTGCGTTCAGGGCCCCAGAGGAAGCTCCAAGCTGTTAGAGGAGAACAAATCGATAAATTGGACGTCATTAAAACTAAGACCATTTGCTCTGAAAAGGGCATCACTGTTAAGAGAATGAAAAGACAAGCCACAGAATGGGGGAAAATATTTGTCAAACATGTATCTGATAAAAGACTCGTATCCAGAATATACAAAGAGCTCTTAGAACTCAACAAGAAGAAAATAAACAATGCACTTAAAAAAATGGGCAAAAGATCTGAAGAGATACCTCACCAAAGAAGATATTCACATGAAAAACACATGAAAAGATACTCAACGTCCTTGCAGTTACCAGGGACTTGCAAATTAAAACAACAATGAGATATTATCACTACATACCCATTAGAATAGATAAAATCCAAAAAACCATGACGCCACCAAATGCTGATGAGGATGTGGAGCCACAGGGACTCTGATTCATTCGATAAGAATGAAAACGTGCACAGCCACTTTGGAAGAGTTTGGCGTTTTTGTTTTTTGTTTTTTAACTAAATATACTTATACCATATGATGGAACAATTGTGCTCCTTGGTATTTACTCAAACGAGCTGAAAACATATGTCTGCACAAAAACTAGCACATGAATGTTTATATCAGCTTTATTCATAATTGCCCAAAACTGGTATCAACCAAGATGTCCTCAGTCTGCGAGTGAAGAAGCAAACTGGGGCACATCAATAAAATGGAGTATCATTCAGCAACAAAAAGAAATGAAATGTGAGGCCATGAAAAGACAAGGAGGAACATTAACTACATATTGCTAAGTGGATGAGCCAGTCTGTAAAAGGCTAGTTACTGTATGGTTCCAATTCTATATCCTGAAATATGCTAAGTACAGGGGCAGCAGAAAGATTGGCTGCCAGGCTAGTTAAGAAAGGAATAGTCTCCTTTTCTGGAATATATATTTGCATATCCAGGAAATCCATTTCTTTCACAAATTGTACTTCTGAGAAACTTCTCCATCTTATCCAAATTGCCAATTTATTGGTGAATTTAGAATATCCTTTCATTATATTTTGAGTGTATGTAGGATCTGTAGAGATGTCCTTTTTTCCATGCATATTGATCATTTGTTCGCTAGGGCCTTATCCACTAGTACCTCGGTTTTTTAATTCATAGATTTCTGCTCTTACACTTCTTTCCTTTCTTCTTTCTTTAGGATTTATACCTTTCTTCTTCTATCTTTTTGAGATGAATATACTCCCTTTGATTTCAGTCATTTGAAATTTGATATTCTAGTTATACTTGAGATAATGTGAATTCTGTGTCTGGGCAGTGTTCTATTTTAACGAGATCAAATGTGTTAATTGTGTTGTCCAGATCCTCTATATCTCTATTATTTTTTGTCTATTTGTTCTATCAGCTACTAAGAGAGGTATAATAAAGTCCTTCATTATGGTTGTGGAGATGTTAATTCTGTCAATTTTTGCTTTACAATTTTAAAGTTATGTTATTGCATGCATACAGATTTATGATTGTGATATGTTTTTGTTGGATTGACTTTTTGATCTTTATAAAATGTCCCCCCCCCTTTTTTTTAATGTTCTTGCCTTAAAGTCTTTGTCTGATATTAGCGTAATACCACCAGCTTTTTGGGTCAAGTTTGTATGGTGTTACCCTTTCAATCCTTTTGTTTTCAGGCTTTCTGTGCTCTTAAAGTGTCTCTTGTGAGCAGCATAAAATTTTTTAAAAAAATCATTGAACAATTCTAGATTGAATTTTCCAGCACTTAGAAGATGTCATTTCATTGTCTTTGGCTTCCAATGTTTCTGTTGAGAAGGGAGTTCTCAGTTTAACTGTTGATCTTTTGAAGATAAACTATATATTTTTTTCCTTTGTCTGTCTTTAAGATTTTTTCATTCTATTTTTCTCCCCCAGGAGTCTTACAATGAGATGTGTGTGTGTGTGTTTAAAAAACTAAACTCCAGACTTTATAGGGATTTCACCAGATTTTTCCATTAATACCCTCTTTGTTTCAGAATCCAATGTAGATAGAGTACCATGTTGCATTTAGTTTTCAGGTTTCCTGTCTCCTTGGTTTTTGAGTTTCTCAGCCCTTCCTTGTTTTTCATGACACTGACTTCCTGGAGGAGTACTAGTCAGATTATCCTATAGAATGTCTCATAATCTGGATCTATCTGGGATTTTCCTCATGATCAGACTGGGGCTATGGGATTTTGGGAAGACTATCAGAAGTGAAGTCCTCTTTTCGTGTGATTTTGTTTTTATCCTGTGTGAGATTTGCCGAATTTATTCAATCTATGGGTTGGTATGCTTCCTTGATTTGGGTCAATTGAATTTTGGCAGAATGGGCACCGTGCCGGTTCCAGGCCCAGGCCCTAGGAGGCATCCTATGTCTCTGCTTACCCCTCTTGTGCACAAAAAGAGAAATAGGACAACCCCCAAGAACTGACTGCTTCCGCTGCGTGTGCACTGGTTGATGTTAACGAAGCAACTAGCAGTTACTCATCATGCAGCAAATGGGGGTCAAGAAATACGAGACTGGGGGTCAAGAAATACGAGACTAACCAAGTTGTATTTGAAAATAATATTAAATTCTATTTGTTTATTTTTTGATATCCGTTTAGCATGTAGTAACCTGTTCACACAACAAAAAACTATGAAAGCTATGCGGCCGACTGCTCTCTGGAGCCTGGAGCAAGTACAGATGGTGAGGACAGGGGAGGAACGGTGACACAGGGTAGGAGCCGGCTCTGTTCACTTCTCTCCAGTGGTGAGTGGTCCAGGCTGGGGTTCGGGGGCTCCTGTAAGCCCAGAGCCTTTGGAGCTGGGTGAAGCAGGAGAAGGAGGGGACGGAGGGGCTCTGGGCAGGATACGATCATCTTCCATGGCTACTTTCTCCACCTGTACCATCCAAATCCTGGTCCTCAGCCCTGCCCTCCCCCACTACCACCCTAGCCCACATTTGCTTCAGCTTCCAAACCACTCCGACCTGCCAGCTTTACGTTCTTGGCTCTCCTGTCCTGTGACGCATTTCCCTCAGCCAGGCATGAAGCCCCCGGAGGCCAGGCTCTCCCTCGACCCCTCCAGGATCCCGCCCAGACGCCAGAATGGTGCCAGTGAACTTTGGGGCTGGAAGCCTCCATGTGCAATGTGCACCAGCCTAAGGCGTGACGTGGGAGCAGGGGTCACGGGGCCCAACCCGGAAGAGAAGTCGGCGAGGGCTTGGGGGCACCCGTGCAACCCTCCGCTTAGCCTTGCCAAGGCCATTCCTCCTTCAGAGGGTAAAACTGACCACTCCTCACTCCCTCAGTCTTGGTTCTGCCTCAAGCGTGAATGAAGAGCATCCCAGAGGCCGTGAGAGTGTCCCAGTGCCAGGCGGGGGGCGGGGCGGGGGGCATAGGCGCTTAAGGGTGAGGCCACTCATCTGTACTGAGCACCAGCTATGAGCCAGCCACTGGGCCAGGTGCTTAGCGGACAATTTCTTTTCAACCCCCGAAGGTCTTAGTGCTGAGGATGTGGAGGCTCGGAGAAGCTAATTCACTTCCTTCTGGTCACTGAGCTAGAAGGTAACCAAGCTGTAGAATCAATGCCTGCCCTGTCTCCCAAGGCTCTCAGATCCAGAAAGGGGCTCCTGAGAGAATATGTTCCAGGGGCTGAGAGTAGACAGGTAAAGGATTAGTGCTGTTTTTCAGAAGACCCCGGGAACCTGAGAGACACGGCGGCGGGGGGGGGGAGAGAGAGAGAGAGACATGGGGTGGTACTGAAAGTCTGGGAAGAAACTCCTAGTCTTGTTTCTACCACCTGAGCCCCAGAGTGGAGGGGACTGAACCCCAGATACAAAGGGCCCCCCAAGATTTAGACAAACTAAGGTGGGGGTTCCAGCCAAGCATTGGGAGAGGAGGCCTAAAGCACACCCCAGAGCACCAGAGCCTCAGATTTTTCTAGAAAGGATCCTAGACCACACCAGTGGCCAGGGCCTCTGGAGGTCAGCTCCTCCATCTCTCTCCTCTCCACTGTGAGGAATCTGAGGGGCAGTGTGGCCAGCCGCTCTCTCCCTTAATGCCTGTGTCTTTCCTAAACACAGCCCTGAGGGCCCAGAAACCACCAATCCCCTGCCCACTGTCCACTGCAAGGCCCATAGCAGGGCCTGATCCAACAGAGGGCCATCTAGTTCCCCAGAGGGAGCGAGACCCTCGAGGCCACCGTGTGGGGAGGGCCTCCCAGGAGGCTGCCTGCCCAGGGGCTTCCTGTCCAGGCTGGTGAGGTCCCCACTAGGGCAGAGCTCCACTGAACGTCATGATGGGCAGGCAGAGGAGGGAGCAGAGGTCCGGCGGGGCCTGTGTTGGCGGGTCCAGGGACCTCTGGGGTTGGGGGTGGAGGCTGCTCTTCTCTGGCTTGTAGCAAGGTGAGACCTCACACCTGTGGGGCAGTCAGGAGTAAGGGCAGGCCCCCAACCCTGCAGCTCCTTCCAGGGTTCTAGCACGTGGCACAGAGGCGAGCCCCTTCCCTGGGCCCCCCTTCCTACCGGACCACACTCTGCAGGATCTTCCTCTCATCCTGGTCCAGGCACACCGCGAAGGGGCAGCCGTTGGAGCCGATGATCTGCACCTTGTCCACCTTGATCTGTGATGTGCTAATCTGGAAGAAAGGCCCCCATCAGTCCTCCCCGATCCCCGGCCCCAGAACTGCCAGCCCTTGGCGGCTCTCTGCCTCAGGCCACCCCAGCAGCAGCCCTGCGGGGCTGACGGCCAGCTGGGGAGAGGGTCCGGCAGCCTCCGTGAGGCCCTGCCTCCTCTCCGGCCTCCACCCTCCCCGAGTCTGGAAGAAACAAGTGCCCCCAGGAGAAGTTCCCACGGCCCCACTGTGAGGCCCCGGTCCCCCACACGGAGCCGTTCTGCGCGCACCCAGGGCTCCCCCGGCTGCCCGCCAGAGCCTTTGCAAGCAGACACATCTGCCCGTAGGGCACCCCACAGTGTGTGCACCCCAAACCACACCCCCAGCCTGCCTCTCCTCCTGCGCCAGGGTCTCCGGAAGGCACCACGGCGGAGAGGGGCGCGTCCTTACCTGGTTGAAGCCCTTCTTGGACTTGGGGTTCTGCCTTTTCACCACCTCTGTCAGGTTTAGCGTCAGGGCCTCCATGCTGGAGTCTGAGGGGCAGGGGCGGCTCAGGCCAGGCTCTGAGGGGCGGCGCCGCCCTGTCGCGCCCCCCCCCCCCCGCCCCGCGCCCCCTCACCTAGCTCCTCCTGCTTCTGGCAGGCCTTGCTAAGATTGACAGAGGTGCACACCTTCTCCATGTTACTCCAGCGGCTTCGTCCACTGATGGCCCCCTGCAAACGCAGCCAGACCCTCTCACCGGAGGACCCTGGGGCCCACCAGCCACAGGGAGCTGCCTGCAGTCGGCGCCCCCCCTGGAAGCTCTCACCCCCTCGCTTCTGCACCGAGAGCCCTCGGACTCCCGATCCCCTATAGACCTTGATGACTACCAGGAGGAGCGTTAGGTCGCTGGCCTGGTCCATGGATCTGAGGGCAGGAGAGCTTGGAGCACCCGCGCCCTCTGGTGGGCTCATGGGCGCCCCTCCCACCCTCCGGCCCCCCAGATCCTCCCTTTCCCTTCCCAAGCGGGCGCACCTCCCATGCACCCAGCCAGGCACACCAGCTCCGTGGACGCTGGGCTCTCCCTCACGGTGCCTCTGGACCCCTCACCCTCAGCCCTGCAGCCAGGCCCTAACACTTCACGGGAGCTGCTGGGGGGAGAGCACACCGGGCGGGGCGGGGCGGGGCGGGCGCTCTGGAGGCCAAAGGGGAGAAGGATGTCCACTCCCTCCCCTTCTGTCCAGGGAAGCCTGCTGCAGCCTCCCAGCTGAAAGACTGGGGCCCGGGCACATGGGGGGGCTGATTCTGGGTGAGGATGGGTCAGGAGCGGGCCCCAGAGGGACAGGGGCCCCAGGCAGCAGCCTCACCTTGCTGTAAATAATCTGTAGTGTTAGAGGGATGGCCTCGCGGTCACCATCGATGCCCAGACGCTTGCTGCCAGGACCTGGGCCGCACGGGACAGACTGTCACTCCCTCTCATTTCCGGTACCCCTCCCAGACCCCGGGGCCCCCACCTCCCAGGCCCGTCTCCCCCGGGGCTCAGGCAGCACCCACCCGAAGCCCTGATGGCACGTGTGGCAGCAGAGTGACCCAGCTCCAGGGAGTGGATGAAGATCTCTTTCATCTTCTCCCCGGTGATGAAAGTCAGCTGCAGAGGGCAAGGGCCGGCGTCAGTGGGGACCTCCCGGAGGGGGCCCCCCACCCAGGGCTGCTGGCTGCAGGGGTGGGGGCGGTGCCCGCAGTGGCGGGGCGGGGGGGTCCTTACCTCTGTCTGATAGACCTGCAGCAGCACCGGCCGGGCGGCGAAGCGACAGTAATAGAGGAGCATGTCCGCCAGGATGGGCAGCTGGGCTGAGGAGCCGTCCAGGGGCCGGGATTCCGCCTTCAGAGACTGCTGAGGGTGGGCGCCAGGGCCCGGTCAGAGGCACCGGTGGCCGGCGAGCGAGCGAGGGAGCAAGGGAACGTGAGGGCAGGAGACACGGACGCACACACGTGCGGAGACAGAGGCAGACAGCCAGGCAAGGGGGTGGTGGGATCAAAGCCGGACACAGAATGGTCGGGGGACGACCCACAGCCCAGCCTCCGGAGCCCCCGCACCGGCCACCAGGGCCACCCCTGGCCGAGCTGGACAAAGCCAGAGGAAGTGAGGAAGGGGGCTGAAGCCTAAGGTCCCCCGGAGCCTGCTGGGACCCGCTCTGACACTGCCCTCAATTTGGGCTCAGTCGCGCTTCTCACCCCGGTCCTCCCTGGAGGCCTCAAGCTGGATCCCCCGAAACCAGGGCCTCCGAGCAGCGCTGTGTGACTGCAGTCAGTGCCCCCCGCCCCCCTTGGGGGCCACTCACCTGGCACAGGACTTCGGGGGGCAGGTGCATGAGGCCCAGCACGTTGCGCTCATACCAGGGGTCGAGCATGCCGAGGTAGTGGGAGATGTCATTGGTGCTCTCCAGCTCCTGGGGCAAGGGGCGAGAGTCATTCCAGCCCCCCCCCAGGGCCCCAGATGGCATCTGCAGCCCCAACCATAGCTCCTCCCGGCCCCGAGAGAAATCTGCGAATCTTTAGTCTGTGTCACACAGCAAGGTGCCGCCCCCACGTGCAGGGCAGGAGCTGCTCCCCGGAGCGGGGCTCAGGCGGGAGAAGGCACCCCCCCTAGACACGGTGGCTGCTCTTGGCAACTTCTCACCAGCCCCCGTCGGGTCACTGGACCTGCAGATGCCCACTCTGCGCCCCTACTGCATGTGGCCCGGGGCTGGGGACATACCGCAGGGCTGGGGTGCCTCGGGGAGTCTGTGGGGGGTGGGGGCGTCTGGCTGGCGGGGGCGGGGCAGGCACTGGAGCCGGTCCCCTGGCCTCGCTTCACGGGCACGTAGAAGAACTGAAGCTTGAAGAACCGTGTGAGGAGCGGGTGGTTGTTCTCCAGCTGCCTGGTAAAGAAGAAGGCGAGAAGAGGAGAGTGGTCCCTCTCGGACCCTCAGCCCACCCCACCGCCCCCCCACCCGGCCGCCCCCCTCCCCCCCCCAGGGCAGAGCGAGGCCCCCTGGTCCAGCTCCTACCGCAGGTTGCTGTAGGCCCGAGCCACCTTCCCCGAAATCCGATCGGAGCCGAAGACCACGACGCGTAGTGTGGACGCCTTGGGGTCCTCGTCTCCGCTCAGGAAGGGCCGGCGGCGCTGGTGCCTCGAGGCGGGGGCCAGGAGCCAGCTGGGCAGCTGGGCGCTGAGCTTGGGCTGGGGCAGGGAGCGCGAGCGCTGGGCCCGCGCGGGGGGCGGCGGCGGCGGCGGTGGCACCGGGCCGTCCAGGGGGCTGCAGAGGCTCCCCGCCCGCCGCAGCGGCAGGCCCGAGACCGAGCCCCCCTCCAGGCCCCGGGAGTCCCTCCGCAGCACCAGCTGGCTGGTGCTCTTGAAGAGTTTATAGATCCTGTTGAACTTCTGCCCGGGCCTGCGGTGGCCCCGGCGCTCCTGGCCGCCCGGCCTCTTGGGCCACTCGGTGGGGCTCTCTTCGCTGTCCTCCACGTAGCCGCTGTCCACGCCGTCTGAGAGGCCCGAGACGAAGGAGGTCAGCAGCTGGCGGGAGAGGGCGGGCCCCGAGGCCTGGGAGGAGGCGAGGGACAGGTCGGAGTCGTGGAAGACCGCCGAGCTGGTGGAGAGCAGTGAGTCCCTCTGGGCACAAAGCCCGTCCGTTTCCAAGTCTTCTTCCTCCTCCTCCTCCTCTTCATCGTCCCCCAGGATCCCTGGCTGCAGTAGCTCCTGTTCCTTGAGCAGGATTTCCTGCAGGATGTCTGCAGGGAAGCCAGGGGAGGCACCGTCTGGGCGTCTGGGTCCTTGAAACCCCTCTTGCACACCCTCGGGAGGGGCGACAGGCTCAGACCGGCCCCGGAGGGAGGAGGAGGGCGGAAGGAGGTGAAGGGCAGCCCAGGACCCACCCCTGCTCTGCTTGGAGCCTGCCCAGGCGGCAGGGGGGCAGGACCAGGAAGCAGCCCCCCCTCCCCCCGGCCCCGGGGGGGGGCAGGTGAGGGGTGGGCGCCAAGAGGGCCCCAGCTGACTGCTTACCGAAGCTGTCCTGGTTCCAGCTGTAAGTGTGACACCTGGCGACAGGGATGGGGATGGTGCGGAGCTGGCCAGGTTTGGCAGTGTCTGCAAGAACAGGGGGACAGGGGGTGAGGGCTAGAAGGGGCTCACAGAAGAGACCAGCGCTGGCCACACACCTGGACGGGGCCGGGGCCGAGCGGGAAGCCGGCCAGCCTCTTTCCGCCCTCGGGGGTGGTGGAGCACCCAGATGACGAGAGCCTGGGTCCCCCGCGGGCGGTGTGGGGCAGGACCACTGGCCAACTTGGACTGCTCACCACCTGGGGAAAATGCACCATGCTCTCCCGAGAGCCTCACCTAACACGCCGGGGAAGCCAGCTTTCTCTCCCACCGCCTGCAGCCTGGTCCTGAGCCACTGCCGGGCCTCGGCTGCGTCCCCGATGCCAGAAGCCAGCTCCTGAGCTTCCGCAGTCTCCGTGAAGATGTCTTCGAGCTCGGCCAGGCTCTTGGACTGAAAGCCCAGGAGAAGACGGGCTTGCCCCTCCGAACCAAGGCTCGGCTGCCCGACTTCTCGAGCTCCTAGGGCCTTCCCGAGGGCGGCCGTGGCCCATCTCCTCCCCTGCCTTGGCACCCACCTCCCCCCACGCCTGGCTGGGGCCTCCCCGGGCCCCTCTTCTCAGGAAGTGGTCACAAGAGAAAGGCCCAGAGCTAGGACACTGCCGAGTTGGAGGAGGGTCCTTCACAGCTCCCCACTATGTCCCAGACAGGGGAGGGGGCTGTCCAGGGCCACACAGCTGACCCATCACAGAGCTAGGACTAGAAGTCAGGTCTTCCAACTTCCCTCTACAGCCTGTTCCCAGCCCACCCAGCCCATGCCATCCTCGGAGGCTCGTGCCCAGCCCCCTGCCCAGGCTGCCACCCACCTCCGTCGGGGCCCAGTGTCACCGAAACCTCTCAGTGTAGCCAGCCCTCCAGCCACTGCCCTGCCACGTCAGCCATGGTGATGCTAAGGCCCCGGGGCCCCAGGTACGTACCTGCAGCCTGCCGTGCAGCCCTGGGAGGTCACAGTGGGCCCCGAAGGTGGCCTGGAAGGCGTGCAGGAGCAGGGTGGTGTAGGCGCTGTGGGGCGAGTGCCCGGGCGTGCTCAGCTTGTTGGCCACAGCGAGGAACTCAGCCTGCACCTCAACTGGGTTCAGCAACAGCACGGTGCTGGGGACACAGAGGGCAGGCTCTGGGGGGTGGGGACAGCGCAGCCCCTCACGGCCGGCGTCCGCGTCCGGCGTCCGGAGCCTGGCAGAGCTGCTAAGCCCGAACCCCCCTGGCGGCTGAGGCCAGGGGAGAGGCAGGGGGCTGGCTCAAGGGCCCCAGGTCCAAGTGCAAAGCTTATGGTCTACTCCTGAGTATTTTTCAGCCGGTGTTTTCAAAGGGCCTTTTGAAAGTGGGGCTTCATTTTTACAAAAGGAATTTCTCCTTATTTTTATATCAACATTTTTCCTACAGGTTGTTGGAATGGACGAAGGAGGACTCAAGAGGACTGCCCTCTCAGCGGGGGTGACTTGGAGCTAGGGGCTCATTTTGCAGGGGGGAGGGAGCCGGGCAGCCACACACCTGCATGCAGGCTGGCCTGGAAGTTCAGGCTAGGCGTCAAGGCTGCCTGTGAGTCTGCAGCTCACAAGGGACCCCTTTTCTAACTCCCGAAAGCCATCACCCCAGCTAGCTTGCACAAAAGCCATCACCCCAGCTAGCTTGCACGGGGCTGGGAGGGGAGTGTATGCCCAGCCTCCCCCACCCCCGCCTCTCCTCTCCTGGACCCTGAGCTCCCTCGCCAGGCCAGCCTTGACGTTCTGTTCATCGTGGAAAATTTCAGACAGACCCAAATGTGCAAAGAATCGTGAACCCCCCAAGGTGTCGATGGCTCACTTAACAGTTAGCCACACGTGACTGTTCTCACTTCGCCACATCAGCCCTCCATCGCTGTGTTTTCTCGAAGTGTGTTGGAGACATCACAATATCCCAGCTGTAGAGACTTTGGTGTGAGCTGCTTGCACTGCCCCCCGCCGCCCCCCCCCCCCCGCCCGCCCGCCCACCCCCGCACCCGCCCCCCCCCCCCGGCTCCGTGCAGAGAAGCATGGTGAGGGCGGCCCTCCTGTCCAGTCTCTGTGGATGGCTGCCCCGGGTCAGGGCCCCCCAGACGGGACCGGGCTCTATCAGAGTCCCCATCCTTTAGGGGGGAAACAAATGTTGATTTCTCTATTTGTCAGAAAAAGGGGTCAGGCTTGCACAAGCCGTCCCTGCCTGAGCCACTGTCCTCCACTGAGTACTTGCTCACTCCTTCCACGTATGTGTGCTGAGCTCCACTGTGTGCAGGACGCGACCAGTCAGGCGCATGCCCTCCCCCTGCATGCTTTCTCGGCACGCGTGTTCTCACCTAAAACTCATTTCGGTTCTGTGTGCGTGTTCGTGTGCGTTTGTGCATATATGAATGTAGGCTTTCATATAAAATGCATTGTTTAGGGGTGCTTGGCTGGCTCAGGTGGTGGAGCATGCCGCTCTTGATCTCAGGGTCGCGAGTTCGAGCCCCACAGAACTCGGGCATAGAGATTACGTAAAATAAATACATAAATAAAAATAAAATAACATGCATTTTTTTACCGTAGGTCCTCATCGAAAAAAGGTTGGAAAATGCTATTTCAGTAACAGGCAGAAAGACATCATAGAAAGCATGTGGGCTTTTGAGTAAGACTGAGGCTTAAATCCTGGCTCGGACGCTTACTAGCTGTGTGACCATCGTGAAGTAATACTTGGCCTCTCTGACCTCCAGTTTCCCCATCTGAAAAGTGGGGGCCAAGTGAGGTCATGTGTGCCCAGGACTCGGCATGATCAGTGCAGGTGGTTTTTAACGTTTGTTGTTTAAGTTTCAGAGCCATTTAGAACTCGGAGGAAAACCCCTCAGCCCAGAGAAACAACCTTACGTACAAAGCATCACCAACTATTCCAAGGCATTCCTGGTCCTCTCGAAGGCTGTTGGTGGCTGGGGCGGGGGGGCGGGGGGGTACAGTGTTGGAGGGAAAACCAGATGCATGGGGCTGGGAGGGGGACGTGTGGGTGTGGGGATGGGGGAACCCCCCTCAAGAACACTCACACGGTGGAGCTGCGGTGACTTCTAATGGGCAGGCCCTGCTCGGCCCTCACCAGTCGCTGGTAGGTGATTCCTGTTGCCAAAAGAGAGTTGGTCGGTTTATCTGCAACTTCAGCAGTCATGGCCTTGGGCCTCCCAGTGGCCCGGCACCGGCCAGCGAGGCTGCTCCCCCCTGGCCCCCCGCGATGAGGCTCAGGCCCCGTGCAGCTCTGCTCCCCACAGACGGTGGGTGCAGCACCCGAGACTTTAGGGTGGCCAGCCTGCGGCTGCCCAGGGGTTCCCTGACCCTCTCTCGGCTCCCCCAAGGGTGTGCAGGCTCCCAGCTCAGTCTCCTCCAGCCCTGTGAGCCTCTGCCCAGCTTCCCACTGGCTCTTGGGGCAGCTCTCCCTCCCTGCTGCTGTCCCTCCCAGGCTGAGCCCTGCCTCTGCCCCCAGTAAAAAAGTTAACCTTATGTCTATTTCGATAGGAAAGTCCCTGAAACTGGCTACCGCTATCGGGACCTGGGACGCCACCTGGTGGCCACTCAAGTGCATGACAGAGGCGAGCTCCCCTCCCCGCCCCCTTCAAGTCCCCCAGTGAAATGCTGTCGTGCAGACTTCGCTTGCTCAGTCTTCTCCTGACCCTCCTGCCTGTGGGATGGCTTCCAGCTCTGCAGAGCCATCAGCTCTGGGGGGGAGTGAAGCGAGACCTTCCACCCGGCTCCTTCACTGCCCTGCCCACAGTCACCCCGACAGGACCAGTTCTGCTCTGCCACACCACTCTTCCTGGTGGGCCACATGCAGCAGAAACTTGTGGGCATCCACCCAACACCCATCCTCCTTCTTTACCAAAGGGACCCTGGGCAGAGGGCAATAGGTGACATTTCTCAACCTCCCCTGCAGGGGTTGGGTGGGGCTTCTGGAACACCCTTTCTGCAACCCCCGCTTTCCTCCTTCCTGTTAACTGGAATAGGGCCATGATAGCTGGAGCTCCTGCAGCCATTAGACCACAAAGTGGCATCAAGAACGATGTTTCCTGCTAAGGATGGTGGAGCAGAATAAAAGGAAAGAGCTGGTTTAGAATGTTAGTGGGAGCCCTGTGCCAACTGTGGACTGCCTTCCACTGGATTTTTTTTTTAATAGAAGGAAAAAAACAAACCCTTATGAGTTTCCACCAGCGTTATACTGGGCGGGTTTCTGTTATGGGCAGCCAGCTTACTTCTGATTCATCCCACCCTGTGATTTCTGGAACAGCGGCTCCCCACTCCTTTCCCTACATCTCCCCCTGTGACTCCGTGATACAAGAAATACGTTATGTGGTCGTAACATCCTCTTTCAGTTCCAGGATCCTATCAGGGTCCCACACTGCATGGACTTATTTCTCCTTAGCCTCCTCCACCTGTAACGCTTCCTCAGTCTGTCCCAGTCTTCCGTGATCTTGACCCAAGTGTCCTGATTGGTTCCTGTAGAATGTTCCTCGATTTGGGGTGTCTCCTGTCACCCCAGGATTGGCGTGAGGCAAGAGTCTTTGACAAGAATACCAGAGAAGTGATGTTATGTCCCTCCTAACTACTGTTTTTCAATCATAAAAATCTCTTTCACTGATATTGTGCCATCAAATACTCCAATTTTTAAAAGTTTTCTGTATTTTTTTTTTTTTTTTGGACAGACCACTTTTGGTCAATGATAATTAAGACTTTGAAAGGTAGGGAGTAGATTTCAGTTATAATGTTTTCCCCTGCCAGTTGCGTCCCTCACTTTGGGTTCTTATCAAAGTGGGACTTGCAACTGGCATCCGAAATGGCTGTAGTCTACGGGACTGAGCTCTTAACCCGTGGGGTCTGCGTTAACTCTGGGTAGCTAGTGTCAGAACCGAGCCGGGTATTGGGACACTCAGGTGGTGTCTGGAGAGCTGGAGAATTCGTGGTTGTCTGGGGTTGGGGGGAACCCATGCATTTGGTGTGAGAGCGTTCTTTGAGGAAAACCTCTACCTGCTAGTCAATGATGCTTGACTTTCCTTCAATGGATCTACACCTTTTATTCCATAATCAGAGACAAGAAAAGTATGAAATGCAAATGTCTCTGGTCACTAATGTCCCGAGAGAAACTTATGGCCACTGAAGATTATTCAGAATTCACCTGCCACCAGTTGATGGGCCAAAGTGACCGAATCTAGGTTTGTACCTGCTTCGACACAAGGTCGAAGGGTCGAAGGCAGCAAGTGAAAGGAAAAGCGGCCGAGATTGCCCAGAGAGGAATGTGCTTACAAAATGGCAGCTGGGACAGCCCCGGGTTTTCCCATCACACACAACTCCCAGCCTATGCCTCCTGGCAGAAAGAGCTTTATGCAAATGTGAGAATAGGTTTCTGGAGTCAAAGGATATGGCTTTTGGGGATCAAACAGACATAGACTCAAGGGGTAGAGCTCTTGTCAGCTCTATCAGCGTGGCCAAGCTACCTACCTGTCTAGCCTTCAGGTTCATCCTCTGGAAGACGGGAATAAACTATGTACCCAAGGGGGTGTTCTGAGGACAGAGGAGACCAACCCTTAGCAGCGGTCAATGCATGGGAAGCCCATGGGAGATGCAAACATCAGCATCATCATCACCATCATCACCAAAAATTACAGTCCTACTTTTGACAGGGAGGCTCAGAGAGCTTATATAGCCTGTCCAAGGTCATCAGCTAGGAAGTGACAAAGCAGAGGTCATACCAAGGCCCGTGTTCCCTCTCTCACACCTGACTCCATAGCGTGGGCAAGACACATTAAACTTCCCTGAGTCTCGGTTTTCGCATGCATGAAATGGGAGGAATATTGCTTTTCCCTCTGCCCGGAGGGGCCGAGGTCTGGGCGGAATGCAATCAGCGTGTGCTTTGGAAACTGTCCTGTGGCTCACGGATGATGCTCACTGTCGCCCCTCACGATTACGGATCTGTTCTTTGCAGGCAAGTATTGTGGTCTACACAGCCGTGCGGGGGGCTTGGAGCAAATACTCAACAAACATGTGAGCTGAACCCGAGAGGGCTGTGGTGGGCGGGAGCTGGCAGCCCTGACCTGAGGCTTCCTGCCACCCCCAGATGAGAGGCGGGGGGGCCACGCTACAGGGGTGGAGTCAGGAAGAAGGGGGAGGCCCGAACGCTTGATAACCTGCCCACTTCCTCTGCCCGCCCAGCCACATCAAAGCGGGATAAACTGTTTCGCTCGTCGCTATGGCAACTGGCTCCCTAAGGCTCCTCGGGTGGAAGGCCGGGCTCCCCAGGTCCCTTGTCAGGACCTGTGTCTTCGCTACCACCGCCCAATCCACCAGCGACGTGAAACCCATGGAGGCCAGCATTAACCCTCACAGTGCTCCGACAGGGAGGCGTTGCTATGCTAACATTTTACGGATGAGGAAGAAAAGCTCCTATAAGTGAAATAAAGGTCTGCCACCCTACCATGGCCTCATACCAAGCACTGGTAACCACTACGTGATTCAACCTCGGCTTCCCCTCCGAGGGCTCATTCCGTGGCCTCCATTCCAGCCTCCACCCCGTTGCCTCCCTCAGCAGGGAGAACCGGGAATGGGGACACTCTGCAAAGAGGCAAAAACATTCGCCCGTGCGGTAACAAAAGCTCGCTACGGCCCTTTCTAACAAGCCCACTTTGGGATCATGTAGGAAAGGGTAATTTAGCTTAATTTACCAGTCGCCCCTGACGAGGGCTGAGGTTCTGCGAAGTGAGAGGTGAACCCAAGGGTGTGAGATGATTGAATGGATTTTTGTTCGGTCGAAAAGCGCACCCCACAGGTTATGGCGTTACCCGCCTCTACGATCTTAACTCATTTCGTATCTAATTCTGCAATCTTACTCTGGCTTATCGAGAAACTTCTATCAGGCTCTCATACCCTCCTTTAAACCAGCTCTGCCATCTCGCGGGTTCCGTCGGTAATGAGCTCAGCGTCTTTGGCGAAGGCTCACTATGTGTTCGTCCGGGTGAGGGTGGGTTTTTTTTAACTGTTTGAAAATGACTGATGTGCAAAAGGGTCCGTGATTTCCTATTTCGGTTCTGCTTTCCCCGGAAGAGGACGAGTTCCTAGCACAGGCAGTCTCTCCACACGGGTGCTGGCCTTCTCCATCACCAGGACATCGGAGGTGTCACAAGGTCCCCCGGGGAACGTCGAGGGGAAGGCGCTCAGCAGCGAGTGACCGGGCTTCCCAGGGTCCTCTGCTCTGAGTCCAAGCACCCTCATCCCATCAACGGCTCCCGTTGTTGCTCTGCCTGGCTCTTGCCCCCCAGGCTTGGAACCCCAACGTCCCAGGGTCAGGCCCTCACCCTCCACAGCTCGCCCTCCACGCTCACTGGGCTGCCCAGAACAGAGTCCCTGCTCAGCTGCCCGCCCCCCAAATATCTCAAGGCATAGCGTGCATTCAGCGGAGAAGAGCCCACTGGTTCTACCTGACACTGGGAGGCGGTCTCCCCGCGTGCAGGTGACAGCTTCCCCCAGCCCTACATCTCCCGCCCCGTACCCATTTCAAAGTAAGAAAGAGTCACTTGGATCTTTGATTAGCCACGGAAGGCCCTGCCAAGGTATCTGCAGTTTGAATCCTTTCTGCCTACATTACAGAAGGGAAGAAAAGCTTCGCCTTCTTGTTAAAGGAATTCTGGTCACCAGCAAGAAGCCCAGACGCAATGCAGATCCGTTGGTTTGGGGGAGGAGTTGGAAGGAAGGGAATGGAAGAGATTAACCCTGAACTGGCTGGTTCACCTAGCGCGCCTTGCAAAGTTAGACTGGCAAACTGTCTATTCATCACGTGCCTGAGCACCTGTCCTCGCCCAGCACCTTTTCCTCAGGGCCTCCCTGGTTTTCTAAATTCTTGCACCCAAGTCTCTACCATGCGGTGAGATCCCAGGGATAGGTGGGCTTTGGGGCCGGCCAACCCTAACCTGTGCGGGACCCTGCGCCTTTGTAACCGCAGACGGCTGATTGGTTGGGCAGGCAGATCAGCGGATTGGTCGGCAGGAGACGGATAAGCTGATTGGTTGGGAGAGGACAGACCCACTGATTGGCTGGGAGGAGACAGCTAGGCTGACTGTTTGGGGGAGGACAGCTCAGCTGATTGGCTGGGAGGAGACAAATCAGATGACTGGGGAAGGAAGTCAGGAATCCCCGCAAAGGAATTTACACACAAAGCTTCAGTCCTGAGCTCTCTAGGGTTCTAGGAATTGTTGGGGAATAAGATTTGGTACTCCGGTCCTGTGTGTGTTCAATGTGTATGATGAGAACCAAGTGCTGTGGGCACTAAACAGGGTCTGGTACCTGTATAAATTTTAAAAGAGGGGGAAAAAAAAACCCCAAAATGAGATTTATAATATACATAGTATTCTGGGGACCTGCTTCTTAACTCAGCAAGTGACTCGCCATCTTTTGCCCTTGGTACCTCTGTATCTTTATCTTTAATGATTGAATAGCTATATAAAAGCTTTAAATTGTATGCTCTCAAATCTGTCGGCCTTATCTTTTATCATTTTTGCCTGGGGGAGGGGGTGGCTGTTTGTTATCTCTCCTCTAGGTGGTTCATGGAACCTACTTCTCTTCTATTACATTCATGGTCTCGTTTTCCACACTTCAACCTTTAATCTACCTGAAATTTATTTTATGTTTGAGATAGAACTCTTAATTTTTTTTTGAGATAGAACTGTAACTCAGTTTTAATGGTCTTTCAACAGTCCTGATACCATTTATCAAATGATCGATTTGATTCATCACTGGTTTCAGAATGCCACTTGGTCATATAACAAATCTTTATATATTTAGCCTGTTTCTAGCCATTCTGTGTTGTTGCATTAACTTATCTATTCTTATGCCAACAGCGCACTATTTTGATACCTATAGTCTTATAGTCACAACCTTCAAAGACCTAGTACGGGAAATACCCCATTCTTCTCCTGTTAAGAATGCATCAATACATACATGATAAATGCATAAGTAAATGCTACTGGAGAGCATTTATTCTTTCAGACAGACTTTATTTTGGTAAATTTTAAAAGATAGGGTTGGTATTTTTTTTTTCATCACAGTTGTATTTATTTCTATAACACCTGCTGTTACTACAATATCGATTCAATCTGACAACACATCTCTTAAATTATTTATCCTTAAATTTGTTTCTCTACGTAGGTAATTCACATATCTTACTTCTTTTATATGTTTAGTTGCTATTATAGATGGTCTTTCCCCCCCATCACTAGGTTCCCTTACTGGTTAATGCCATTAGCTACCTGTTTACTAGCTCTGTCAGTTCTTTGGGTGATTCTCTTAGTCTTGACAGATAAGCTATTGTTTGATCTCTGCATAATTAAAATGTTATCTTCTCGGGGCGCCTGGGTGGCTCAGTCATTAAGCGCCTGTCTTTGGCTCAGGTCATGATCCCAGGGTCCTGGGATCGAGCCCTGCATCGGGCTCCCTGCTCTGCGGGGAAGCCTGCTTCTCCCTCTCCCACTCCCCCTGCTTGTGTTCTCTCTCTCGCTGTGTCTCTCTCTGTTAAATAAATAAATAAAATCTTTAAAAAAAATAATTAAAATGTTATCTTCTCTGGAAGAAGAAATATTCTTTATTTTTGCCTTTTTGCCTAGGCAAAATACCTATAAGCACAAAGAGGAAGGTTGCTGACTTAAATGGAAATGCCTCTAGCATTTCACGGTGGGCTGTTAAGAATACTTCCACGTTTTAATAGTATCCATATATTAGAAGGGTTTTGAATATTAGGAATGGATGTTGAATTTTATCAAATGTGTTAAGGGCATCTATCAGGATGTTTATGTGACATTATTCCTTTGAGCTACTGACATTGATGAATTACTCTCTCAGGCCACCTTGCAGTAAATCTTACCTGCTTAGGTTTTCTCTTGCTCTAGAACAGTTTGCTGGGCCCTCCTTTTCGTATTTATTAGAGCACTTGCAATTTTTCAAGAATTCCTCCTTTCCAGACCCCACGTGTGACAACTTGGCCCCAGGCCCTTGTCCACCCCTGTCATGGCACCCATCAACCTGTCCATTCCTAGCCCCGGTCACTCCCCTGACCAGAACTGAATCGATCCACATATGCATTTCCCCATTTGCTCCTGAAGCAAAGAGGACAAGCAAGGGCCTCTTGTCAGTATTGTGGGGGCCCCTTTGTCTGACCTGGGCAGTCTCGGAGACCCTTTGGCAAACCAGATCACAGGCACAGACCATGCAGTGGGGTCTCCTTGCCTGGAACCGCTGCTCAGCTTCCCCTAAGAATTCCTCCTTGAGTTACCGCCTGTGTTCATTTCTGTCAGCCATCGGATCCTTTGTGCGCCACGAAGGCCCCACGCACCTGCCACACCAACACTCACCTGGGGCCTTGAGTTCAGCATCAATGAAGGTGAGCAGCTCCTGGTAGATGCTGCAGTAGGGAACAGGCCAGGTCAGGAACCGGTGGTAGGTTCTGGCTGCTTTCAGAAGGAGATCTGAATCGGGTGGGAAGTGTGGCGTCTGGATGGAAAGGGAGCAGCGAGCGAGCAGAGAGGTCTGGGTGAGAGAGAGCTCACTGGTATTCCAGAACAGACCCTGCTCCCTTCCGGAATGTGCCACAGAAGGCACTCTGTTCCTGGCAGCAGTTTGTCCCGGGACAAGGTCAGAAAGAACCAGAAGTTACCACCGGGAGTGAGTTAGGGATGGGCAAGATGGCACCCGGGGGGCCCTTCTACCCTAAGGGCCGTGTTTTCACCACACATAACACCCGATACGTAAGAGCGCCTCTCTGAAAAGCTGTCACTGGGGAGGTCAGCCTAATGGTGCCGTTGCTGCCCCTCACTTGGGGGAACGGTCTTCAGTGCCTGAACCGCCTGTATTTACATATCCCTACGGGAGGCAAAGGTTTATGCGTGGAAGTGGATGGGCTCCCACGCATGTGCGGTCATTTGGTGCCACCGGTCTGGTGAAGACGGGATGCTCACACCGGGTGCACTGACTCCTGGGGTACAGAATGGGGTGGACCGAAAATCTCTCAGCAGGATCTGGGTCACACCTCGTGAACAGGCCGTGGACAGCAGGCCCTGCACGGGAACCCGGATGTGCCAGGCAGCATGGCGTCCTGCATGGAGTTCTGGAGGTCTCTCACGGGGGCCGCTCGGAAGCCATCAGAGGGCTGACACCCGTTTCAAGGGTCCCGGCTTGTCTCTGGAGGGGTGAGGCCGCCCCTCCCGGGCCCCTCCTGCCTCCCCCTGCTGGCCCGTGCTGGAACTTACGCAGAGGACAGTGGAGTAGAAGAGCAGGGCCAGGGGGGCGAGAAGGTCATAGGTGCCCTTCTCTTGGACCTGTGGACAGGACAGGAGAGGAACGTGAGGCTCATCACAGGTGCAGAACAGAGCAGCGCTTCCTCGTTCTGGCCTTTCTTTTCTTTCTTTCTTTTTTTTTTTAAATGTATGTTCTTTTCTTTTTTTTTTTTTAAGATTTTTTTTTTTTTTTTTTGCCAGAGAGTTAGAAGAGGTAGGCAGAGAGGCAGGCAGAGGGAGAGGGAGAAGCAGGCTCCCTGCTGAGAAGGGAGCCTGACGCAGGGCTCGATCCCAGGACCCTGGGATCATGACCTGAGCCGAAGGCAGCTGCTTAACCAACTGAGCCACCCAGGCGCCCCTCTTTCTTTCTTATGGGGAAAAGTAATGTAATCACTAGGCAAAAATTTGGGAAATACAAGTTTAAAAAAAAAAATAAAAAAGCACTCACAATATCCCCCCTCCAAAAGCAACCACAGCTGATGTCGCAACGATTCTCCTGACACCATTTTTCCTCTACGTATTTTCCTCTGCAAACGTGTAAAGCATAGTGTGTATATTTTTACTCCTCATGCTTCTTACCTATTATTATTATTACAAATGAATTTGTTTTGCTACATCATCTCTAAGACTGCCTTTTCCCCCTGCTCCTAGTTATGCAGTTCCTTTTTATTTCTGTTATAAATATATATTTTTTAAATTTGTGGTATCTTTTTTTTTTAAGATTTTTTTTTTAATTTATCTGAGAGAGAGAGAGGAAGAAAAAGCATGAGCAGCGGGGAGAGGGAGAAGCAGGCTCCCTGCTGAGCCAGGAACCCAACATGGGGCCCGCTCCCAGGACGTTGGGATCATGACTTGAGCCAAAGGCACATGATTAACCGACTGAGCCACCCAGGCACCCCTGTTGCATATCTTTTAATTTTATAGATTTTTTTCCTGAAGTCCCAATATTAGAAGTGTTCAGTTTTTTTCCCGTATAGGTTTTTGCTTTGGCATGCAAGCATCATGTAAATATTCATATATCTTTTTTCTTCTTTTCTCTGAAGCTTCGTTTTCATAAATGTAAATCTTTAATCCACTTAGAATTCCATCTGCTGTATGGTATGCGCTAGGAAACGCACTCTGAATTTTCCCAAAAGTTTAGTCAATTTTCACTAAACCATTTAATAAATCTCACTGATGCAATTTTTTTGTACATTAAAATTTGTTTATGCCATTGGATAATGCCCATCTTTTTATTACCTGCATAATATTTCCTCTGCTAGACCTCCGTCATTTATTATTAGCTTCATTTTGGACATTTGAGATTATCGTCTTCCTGTTTTAAAACTTTTTGCAATGCACATTACTTGTGCACATTACCTTTTTCCATAATTTGGATTACTTCTCTAGGTTCGAGTTCAAGAAGTGGGATCAACGGATCAAAGACTATAAACATATTTCTGATCTTTGAAGCTCATTGCCAAGTTGCTTTCCAGAAGGATGGTGCCAATTTTAATATGCCATACATACAAAAGTACGGGTTTCACTCTACCTTTCCCTGCATTGCTCGTTATATTTTTTTGCTAATTTGCTAGGCAAAGACTGTCTCATATGGTTTTAATTTGCATGTTTTATTATAACTGAGGCAACATTTTTTCCATATTTTTTTCCAAGGTCTGTGTATTCTTTGGTGCATCATCTCTTTGACCCACCCGCCACACTACATACGCACGTGATTTAGAATTCTTTGGTCAACATGCTAAAGGTCTCAGCCCCTTCTGGAACTTGTGGGCATTGAAGATGCAGAGAAAGCCCCACCATCTGTGTTGTGCTCCGCAGGCTCAAATTGAGAATTCTCCTGTCTTTACCCCAAACAGACCACGTGTCCAATACACCTGCTGCCCCATCCCTTCTACAAACCCTCCCCTATTGTTACAAGGTAGTTGATATTTGCGTTTATAAAGTAAATACCCCAAGGTGGTTTAGCTTTTCTGAGTTGGTCTGCTTGTGATCAGGGTCTAACAGCACCAGGTAAATGGTGGGACCCAGAACTGGGACCTTGGGCGTCTTGATAAAACAAGACTTTCCAGGGACAGCTGAGACAGTCACATGTCTTCCAACTCAGTCATGTATTTAAAAAAAGAAAGAAAGGGGAAAAAAAAAAAAAACACTTAAGAATTCTTTAAACAAGAGCCAGCACCCTCTGTAGGGATTCCCAGCTGTTCTGGAAGGCCAGCCCAGCTGAGCCTCAAACATACCCCTCTTCTTAGTCATAAAAGCCTATTTATTATGGACCTGCTGTTAGACAGGTCTCAGTTTAATCACTTTTCTCTTCTGTGTCTACTTTTAGGGATCTTTTCAAGGAAAGGGATTCGGGAGAGCTTCCTCCTTCCTTTCTAGTCAGAAACCTTCAATCCACAAGCACTGCTGGAACAGAAAAGTCAGGGGTTCCCAGTGCCTTTGCCAAGCCCCACGCCAGGCCAAGCACCCCAGAACCGACACTCCATGGGGACATTTCCCTTGCATCTTTGGTCCCTGGCCGGCACTCACCTCTCGGGTTTTCTGCAGGATCTGCTCCAGGAGGATGAGGAAGTGGCCCGGGTCCCTGCTGACCAGCTCCTGTAGGCTCCAGCAGTTGAGACACAGGCCAGCTGGAAAGGCAGAGAGGAGAGTTCAGCTCAGGTTTGGAGAGCAGCAGGAATTCCCGGGGGGATTGCACGGGGGCACTCCTTGCTAAAGTAAGAGTCTCAGAAAACTCTGGATCAACACTCATCTCTGTCATGCCTCATCGAGACAAGTGTCTTAGTCCTGCAAGAGACACAGAGATGGGCCGGGAAGCTACGGTTCTTCCACAGCCTCCCCTGCCCCCGGTTTCCCACAGGGGTGCTGGAACCTGCAAGATGCAGGGAAGGAGTGCAGAGGCAGAAAGTGCTGAAAGGAGGAGAAGAGCCTCGGCTAGCGCCCCTCCCGGAAGCAAGAGCAAGTCTCTCCTGGCCGTGGGGCTTCCCAGGACTGCCTGGCAGGGGAGCACAGGGAGGGGGTAAGCTACATCCCTTTATCTTTTGAAAGCCAGAGTGGGTACTTGGTCATTCTGTAACTTCCCCAGACTTCCTTACTATGTCGGTCTCTGTTTCCCCGCAGTCAGCAAGGCAAACCCCTAGAAATTAAAGGGGTGGTCATGGGGGCCCGTGTGCGTGTGTGCGCGTGCACGTACTGGAGGTCAGAGCAGTAGGGGCGAGGCGGGAAGGGAACCAGCTGTGAGTTTCATGGAACTTGAGCTCCGTGCGCCTTCAGGTGCACCGGCTCCTTCCAAGGTTGGGGAAACCCTAACAGCATTTTCATGTGGATACGGGGTTTTATAAAATTGGCCAAAGTCAGATATTTTTGTCTTCTTTTACTTAATGATGCACCCCCCCCCCATTCTATACGCTTAGGCTCCATCAAACCCTAGGCAGGAAGCAAACTACCATTGACTGAGCACCTACTGTGTGCCGATAAGGTGCTAGGCTCTTGCATACACTCTGCCCCACTGAGTCTCCCAACTTCCTTCCCTTCAGGAAGTGGCTCCTGTTGTCGCTACTCTCACTTTATGGCCGAGGCAGGTGGGGTTCCTGGGAGGTTAAGCGACTTGTGTGAGGTGATAGCAGCCAGTGACAGGCAGTTTTAATCTAGATCTGTGTAATCCCAAAGACCAAGGAAAGTCAATCAGAGGAGGTGACACTTGGGCTGAGACCTGGATGAGAAGGAGCCAGCTACATGCTGTTCTGAGGGAAGAGTTCCAGGCAGCAAGTGCAAAGGTCCTGAGGTAGGAGGAACCAGGGAAGGAACCAGGGAAGTTCAAGGAGCAATGGCTACCTATCTCATGGGATAGTTAGAGAGGCAAGTGAGATATGGGATGTGAACAATCTCAGAAGCATGAGAAATTATTACAAGTAGGCACCAGTCTTCAGAGATGCAATTGCCCCAGCCTGCAGATAAGCCCGTTTCTCAGTCCTGGGAAACAAGGAAGCTTCCCACTCCCTGAACCTCGGCTGAGATTCTCCCTTGTCCTGCAGGGAAAAAGGAGATGGGGCTCTGGAAAGAACCAGAAACCAACTAAACAGAACTCTGGGGGGAGCCATCTACAAGCTCCTAGCTGTTCTTTTGGAATCAGCAGCTGTGGTTTTTCTAAGCAGGACTGATACCTCTCTTCAAGGAGCTGTGCTTCTGGCACATGCAGAGAAAGCAAGATACAGCCCTGAGGAGGAGGAAGAAGATGTCAGGGGAGGACAGACAGACTGCCACATTCTGACGGGCTACCCTCCATCAGGTGCTGCGCCGAGCACCGGCCCATGGGAGGTCCCACACACGGGCCTGGAACCAGAGAACCTGTGGGCTTCTGCTCCAGTGCTCACTGTAGCCCGCGGGGCTTTCTTGGGCCCCACCAGCCCCACCCCTGCCCCCCCAGACCTACCTGACCAGGAGGTGGAGCAGCGGCTGAGGCTGAGCCCGTGTAGGCAGCGCTCCAGGGCATGCTGGATGCGGTCCTCCGTGCACGTCGTGGCCCCTGGCTGCATCCTGAGTCATCGCCTGCGAGGGGACAGATGCCGGTCAGCCGGGAGAGCCCCAGGCTGGGGGGAGCAAATGGCCTAGCGGAGCGGACAGCAGAGTCCATGGGTGCTCACAGCCCAGCTCGGGCAGCCCTGCCGTAGCTCTGTTGCCCAGAGCCCAGCATGAAGGTGGGGAGCTCACAGTCACTGCGGCCCGACGGCACAGCGATGCAGGCGGTGAGGGTCAGGGCGGGACGCTGCGAGGTGGACGGGGGCAGTGGCCAGTATTTTCTGTGTTTCCCCCCAGGCCCCGGGGACAGGCAGGGAGAAGGCTGCAGAATCTCAGTTTACTTTTCTGTAAAATGGGCTTAACAAGGTGCTGACCCTAGAGGACCGCCGGGAAGAATGCCACAGTGGATGGGCCAAGAGTGCTCTCGAGACACAAAAGCCATCCTGCCACAGGCTTTGGCGCTCTCCCACTTTCCCGCATTCACCCCTTCCAGGCAGACCCTGTCGCTGGCCCGTCAGGCTAGGTCCTGGAGAGGAGCCAAGGAAGCAGTGGTCCAACTCTGTGGAACTGGGGACAGACCAGGAAACCACAAGCAGAAGCGCGGAGCTCAGAGCTGAGCCATGCAAACGACATGCAAAACTGCGAAATCCAAACAGGGACCCAGCTGCATGACTGGAACCCTCGGCTTGCGGGGGGCCCACGTAGGCAAATCCTCCTACTTCCCTAGCCCGGGAGGAACCACAGGCCCGAGGAAACATCAGCTCTCTGTGAGCTGTCCAGCGTCTTCCACCTCAGTGATGTCCCTGCTGGGCCGTGCTTCTTGGCGTCAGACATTAACACTGAACAGTTCAATAGACCAAGAAAGAAGTCGTCACAGAAGGTGATGCTGTGAAGACAGGTGGTGCTGGGGGCAGGCCAAACGGGGAGCCCACACTGGGTTGTCAGGAAGCCTCCCCAAAGGGACCTTGAAGCTGGACGAGGAATCGAGGAGAGAAGTGAGGGGAAGAACACTCCAGAAAGAAGAGACAGCATGTGCAAAAGTCTGGGTGCAGGGACAAGCCTGCCAAGGACTGAGACACTGGAACAGAAGGCCAGGTCCCCCACCTCCCGGCTGTTGAGGTGGCAGACTGAACTCAGAAAAACCTCTCACTGGGGATTCAGGACCGTGCATGCTGGGTGTTTCCGTGAGCAGCATCCGGCAGCCCAAAGATGTCCCTGGGCCCTTCCAGGGCAACTTTCCCAGTACACCTTTGGGCCTTTTGTCTGCGGACTCCTCCACGGGTAGCCCAGGCAATGAGTCCAATGCCACTGAGCCAGACGGGGCAGATTCCAAGCTTTCCGGTCCCTGCCTCGCCTGCCATGGGTGTGCATCCTGGGAACGGACCCTTGTGATGAGGCCTCAGCCTTCTGCCTCCAGTGGAGCCCCAATACAAGACTCTCTCCAGCTTAGTCCTACCCAGACTCAGGGCTACCAGTATCCGTTGCAGGAGCTTGAAGCTCAGGCACCTTCAAAAGGATGAGTTTGGGGCATGGATGGTTGGCCCAGATGGCATCAATGGATCCTCTGCCCTGCAGGCTGATTTCTTCCCATGAGCCCCAGGGTGGCTTCTTGGAGGGAGCTCAGATGTTGCCCACCCACCCCTGCCTCAAGTCCTTCATTTCACAGTCCTTCATTGTAGGGAGGGGGAGGGGTGAGAACTAGCCACAAAAGCTGGACCGCAGCTGTTTTGCTGATACTTGGCCCTGGAGGGCTGGTGGGGGGTGGAGGAGGGGAAGTTAGCAGTAGGAGGCTGATGGGTGGACCACCTCTGGGGAGTCGGATGGAGAGATGGGTCATCTGTGGCACGGAGAAGTTAGACAACTTGCCCAAGGCCACACAGCGAAGAGGTGGCAAAGCCAGGATAGGAACCCGGGGAGTCTGGTCCTGGCCGCTACAGGGCGCTCTCAGTACAGTCAAGATGCCAGTTACCAGAAGAAAAAGAAAACCAATTCGTGTTCATACCCCCCCAAAATGGAGACTCAATTAGCTATAACATGATCTTACTTTAAAAGACCTACCTTCCCAGCTGCTAGGGATCTTGAGCCCCCCACGTCTGTCTACACCAGCTGCCCACCCTCCAGGGAGGGGATCAGGACTCACAGAAGCGCCCTACTTGCTGAACTGGGCGATCTCTAGCCTGGAGCAAGGGCTGAACCACACCGACTGGCTTTGAAGTCCCCTCCGCCCAGTCCCTGCTGCAAGGGACAACTGGGTTGTGCCACGAGGCAGGGATGAGTCACCCTGCCCTGCTGCGTCCCACTGTAAACACAAGATGCAAATGAACGTTTTCAGCCAACGCTGCCTCTGTTGCACCCCTCTCCTTGGGGGGTCAGGACACAGTGTCCTGGGGCTTCTGTGAGCAGCCTTCCCAGCACCCCAGTGCCTGCTGGCCCACACTCCTTCCCTTCCCCAGGCCCCTGACACTCCCATCTCCTGGCCTCAGTGTCCCCTGCGGTTCACTGAAGACAATCCAGACCTTCTCCGCGGATGGGCCAGGTATCCCCAAGGGCACGGGGCACAGTTCCTGGTGTGCCAGCCGGCCCCCCCGCCGGCCCCCGAGCATCCTGACACCATCTAGAGTTTGCCCCAAGCTGCTCTGAGAGGCTGGACTTGCCCAAGGCACTGGGCCCTGGGAGCCAAGGCAGGGGGGAGCCCAGCCAGGGGGATGCTCAGCTGAGCTGCCCTGGGGGTTAACCCAGCGCCCCCTGGCTCAACACCTGGTCCTTTGGCACCCTCATTTCCGTTTGATGAGTCAGTCATCAGCTGTTTCTTGTGACTTGTCAGCAGAACCCTAGTGGCTTTGGGGCGGAGATGAAGAGGGAAGAAGGTGGCACTCCCTCCCTCCCCAAGGACGATGCCTTTTTCTCAAACACTTGGCAGGCAAGGCCTGGCTTCCCTAAGCACCTTCTAAGAGGAGTGTCTATTGTGAAATCCCAGCTGCTGCCTGGAATGGGAATGCCCCTCACCCACCGGTGGGGTTGTGTGGAAACATTCAACAGCCGGGCTTGCCCCCGTCTCCAAGTTCCTCTTCTGAGCCAGTAAGGGTGAGTCCTTACTGGGGACCCTGAGCAGAACAGGGAGGCCTGGAGCTGGGGGGGTGGGGGGGCGTGGGGCAGGCAGCGACCGCAGAGGGCACAGAGGGAGACCTCCTCTTCACATGTTGACCTGACCCCATAATGCAAGACAGGGTCATCTTCCCAAAGGTGCAGGACTAGTCGAAGGTCTGCCTGGGTCCGACTGTCCTGGGGCAGCCCCCACATGGGGCAGAGAGGGGCGCTTCTTTCTTGGAGGATTTCTCAAACACTGTGGAATGGCAGGCGTAGAGGGCCTACCTCTCATGGGGGAGAAGCGTGTGCCTCCAGGCTCTGGCCGGCACCCACACAGCTTCCCTGCTGTTCTGGAATATAGTCCAGGCCCATGCTTTGAAGGCTTAGTTCCACAGGTGGGAATCACAGAGGCACCAAGGCACTGCACTGAGCCTGCCCGTGTCGGTCCTGCATCACTCCTCCCTCTGCCCCTTCCTCTGGTCCCCTGTGGCTTGACCTCCCTTCTCTGGCCCCCGCTCTTCTCCATGTGACTGTTCAAGGCAGAATCTCTTCTGCGACCTAATTTAAAAATTTCTCACCATCAAAGCAGGAAGGATACACCCGAAACTAAAGATACTGGGGTAAGAAAGGGGTGAAAAAGAGAGGAGAATGAGATGGGGAAGAAGACAGGCAACACTTCTTTGGGGCTATTTTTAGGGTATCCCTTTGACTCTTAGAACCATAGCAAGATTTTTACATACCCCAAATTAGAATAACTCAAGTCAACTGGGATCGCGGGGGGCAGGGGAACAAAAATCCAAACAAAACAAGGGAACCCAACTGCATTATAAATGAGTAACATAACCGCATTGAAGGGATAGGGGATGAAAGAATTAAACTGAGGAACTCTGGAAAAGAGTATTTTGACTGGATACTGTAAGGCTAAAGACAAAAAGAACTACATACAAACATTGTTTGCTAATTATTGAACCTGTTTGCCATAGGGACGTGTGTTTAAAATCCACAGACTTCTTTACGCGTGTGCTATGACTAAGCAAATAAGTAAATACAGGTCATGAGAGCCAGCTTCTCACTGTTGGAGAAAGAAGTTACAAATAAGGAATGTGGGAAATCTAGAATGAACCAACTCTATTGGACTGGAGTTGGAGAAATCAGCATGAACTCGTGTTTTTTTTTTAATGTATTTACACAGAGATGCATACAGAAGTGAAAAAGATGTGTGTCTGCTTGCATTAAAATGCATACATATATTTTCTAGCTCTGCTGAGAGAGCCAGGAAATGACATCCCAGTAGCAATGAGCACACCTAGTGCCCAGGTCTTGGTTTCTAAATACCATTCTCCACTCAAAGGAACCAGGGCTCCTTAGAGAAATGGCCGATTCCAAGACCAGGGCAGGAAATATTGAAGGTGAACCTGGAACATCTTATAGTGCCAGAAAATAAGTCATTCCTTGAAAAGGGATGGGAGTGTCAGAGGATATGGGAGCCAGCTTGAAGGAGCTTCCAGTGGCCAAAGCCAGGACAATTTTTAATGACAAAATAAATAATGAAAGTGTTGGATTATAATTTGTAGAATGAAATAAATACCCATGAGTCTACACTTATGTCATAAACAGTTGAAGAAAAGAATAAATGAAGAAGGAACAGATCTTCTTTATGACAGAATACCAATTAATAAATGTGGCCAGAATGAGAAAAATACAAAAATCACCATTAGGCAAACACCACAGTAATAACCGTCCTCAGTATGGATGTTAAAATCTCTGGATGAAATTCTGAGAGGGGACAGGATGTTGGCATAGTCTCACAGTATTTCCTCTAAGAAATTAATTGATTACAAGTGAAAAATAATAATTTCACAGTGGAGAAACCCACCACCACCTTAACCTCATGATCCAAGGTAATATTACCAGTAATAAGATATTTCAAGATCCTATCTCCC